TCATTGTTCTTCACGGCGGTATAAGTGGATAAATACGAGGGAATTTGCTTAGCCCATGAAATATTCATATTGTGAAAAATTCAAGTTCTGATGTGACCTATGGAAATTGACATGGGTCTGTAATGCTGGTTAGATATTGCCGGTTTGACACTAATGTGGAAGAAGGTTCCGCTGTTTAAACATGCAAGTATACATAGCATGTGTCCTGGGCGGGTAGAGCTGGCAGGACGAGGCTGATGTGAAGCATTTGCTTCTCTTCCATAGCATGAAGCCAACCTAATTACTAGGCTAGTTGACTATAGCAGCAGTTGTCTCTGTGGTCTCCGATGAAGGTCGGCTATTTTCCTGCCCAAATTATTTTATAAACCAGTGAACTGCATCTTCATATTCAAATCATGCAGAGGTAGAAAAAACTCATGTGAAAATCAGGAGCCATTCATTCCAGTCTGGGAGCCAACAGCTGCGGTGTAAGAGAATTCCAGCTGATACAATGTGCTTTAGTTCAGGACAGAAGTGTGAGAACTACAGCTCTGTGACTTACATATTTTAAAGGGAATATATATATTTTTATATAGGTTTAAAAAGATCAGTTTGATGTAAATAATGTTATCAATGTGTCGTATATTTTTTATTAAAACATTTCTATGTACATTTGCTTACATAGCAAGCTCTGCTTCCTGCTTTAAGCCTCCGGTCACACTGAATGCGATTTTAAAATTCCACGTTTTGTTTGCCGCGTTTTCTGAAGATTTCCCTACAATTTCTTGCATTTTCCATTGCGTTTTGCAGTGCAATTTCTATTGTAGGGAAGAGACAGCAGCGCCACTCTAAGTGTAGACGGTTAAAATCAAGCAGATTTAATGGTAAAATTGCACTCACATAGGTAGGTAACATGTAGACATGTCAAGTAATGGAGGTCCAGTGGGATCATCAGGTACTTTGGCCACGCTCTGGGTGTTTTCCCACCGCTCCTGTTGTGTCCAGGGCTTGGGGAGTAGCAGAGGGGCGCAGGGAGGTTTGGCCTGATGGAGTGAGCATGCTCCGAACGTGCACCATCTTGGAAACCCAGTCCATGCGGTGACATCATTCCTGTGAGCCTCCCTGCGCTCTTTTGCTACTCCCCGAGCCCTGAACACCACCGGAGCGGCGGGAAAACACCCAGAGCGTGGCCAAAGGACCTGATGATCCTGGTGAGTGCAATTTTACCATCAAATCTGCCTGATTTTAACCGTCTACTCTTAAAGTGACGCTGCTGTCTCTCTTCTCTACCTGCATTAGGAGTATCTACAGCCGGCTGCCTCCTTGGACAAGTCCATATTACTACAAGCCCCCCACTACAGATGGACTTGAACACCACCTCCACATGGACCTTGCTGATGGTCCATCCCCAAAACACACACAGGGTAGATGTGTCTTAGCGCTCCCTCCCCTCGCTCACCGCTCAATTTCTATTGTAGTCTATGTGAAATTGAAACAAACTGCAGAAAAAGTAAAACGAGAACTACTTTTGAAATCGCGGTGCAGCAAATCACGTATGTTAAGACACTCACATTCATTAGATTCGATTTCAGGTATGATTTCAATTCCCAAATCGCACCTGAAATCGCAGCACTGCGCTACACAGTGGTTGTGCTTTACTGTTCCTTTCCAAAATACAAGTCTGTGAGTTGGGAGAGAGAGAGGGTTTGAAAGAACCCAATAGACCTCAATTATGTCCCACCATTCTAGTGCACTTTCAGAAAGCACACCAAAACTCCTGCATGCAGGGTTTTTTGTGCGCTTTTTGAAAGCACACCAAAGCCATAGGACATAATAAAAATCTATTTAAAATTGCAGTTAACCAAAAAAAAAAAAAAAACGCCCAAAGTCCAGTGGGGTAGTGGAAAACCACTCTAAGGGCCAGTTTACACCAGAAATTTAATCACACTTTAATGTACTGCCCTTGTGATCTGCTGCAGGTGCCAATGTAATGTTAAGGCACCCGAAATGTAGGTCACAAACGCAATACATTTGTGGGCACCAAATTTCATGGTATTGCAGTACCATGTGATTTGGTGATCAAGGCAGAACTGCCGCACATCCAGCCGGACCTGGTGGAACATGTATATGTGGCAGCTTCAGTCCTCAAACCACAGCCCCTGAAGCTTTTCCTCTATGACTAAGCCCCTGATGGAGGGGGCAAAACGCATATATACATGTGCCCCGAGGCCAGGAGTTGTTCTGCCGTGATCTTCTTCTGACACTACTGGATGAGTGATATCTTGGTGCGCAGGGATAGGGGTGCTGGCACAACCGAACAGAGCATCTCTACTTAGAGTGGCACCACTAAACCAATGCAATAGTGCATAGAGTTATGATGTGATTTGCAGCCCATTCAAATGAATGGGCTCCAAAATTGCACGGGAATACCACATGTTCCTGTGCGATTCAGTTGTCAACCTGCCATAAATCTCTAAAGTTCATAGTGTAACAAATATATGAAAGAGCAACCATTTTAAATACTAAGTAATATCCAAAACTACTTTGGGGAAAACATTGCTTCCAAAACTCAAAACCATGTAGTTACTAAAACATCCCTGTCCTTTCCTTTTTAAAGCTGATCTTTATGCAGATTCACCTGCTCATGTGATCTGAATTTGATAATCTACTGTAAGGAAAACATTGGTTTGGGAATATAAATAGTTTTTTTTTTATTTCTATTTATCGTTTTTGCACTTCAGTCTGTTGTCGGCTGTCTTTGGAGGTTTGAGGCTTGGCTCACGTCTATGCATGTTGCAGTCTGCTGCTAGAAAAAGTCCTTGACCCTTTCCAAATATCCAGCGGGTGAAAATGCATAGATGTGAATGTGTCCCATAGGAAACCATGTAAAATGGACTGTAGTATGTTTCTGCAAAACACAAAAAGCACTAAAAAATGCGTAAGTGTGAACCGGGCCTAAATGCTTATCTCCCAACTGCCCCTGATTCTGAGGGACTGTCCCTGATATGGAACAAAGTCCCCCTATCCCTTCCTCCTCATTTATCCCTCATTTTGGTCTGATCTATAAAGTTGCATAACAAATAGTTGTATTTAGCTGTCAAAATGTGTTTCACAGTGCTAAACCTTTCATCCAATTTCTAAATTGTTGGATTTGTAAGCTTCAAAAGCCAATATAAAGGTATAGTAGTGCTAAAAATGCACTTGTCGGTTTAACTTAATTTTTTTTTTTGTACAATTATCCTTTAAGGAGGGCATAGGCAGGGGGTGCCCACATGCTTTTGGTAATAGATGTCCCTCGTTCCCATCTCAGAAAGCTGGGAAGTATGCTAAATGTAACAGATAATTTGGGTACTTGTGAAGAATGGGTAAAAAAAAAAAAGCAAATACAATCCAGTTATGTGTTCAAATAAGTACGGTAATTAATTTATATATTCCCTACTGGTATGTGTTACTCAAAGTGAGCTTGTGGCCAGGCTATCGATGGACATTCAGATATTTACATATTTGGAACAAACAGCAAATTAGCTTTAAAACAAGTTCTCACTGCCCTATGTAGCTGCAGGCCCTGAGAATCAATTCATTGTAATAATTCACAGCAGCAACACTGAAGCTCATGTCAGCTTTCCTGGCAGCACAGCTCAACCTGCTCCCCCCTCTTAGAAGTGACAGTGGCCTTCCAGCTTTTGAAGCTCTATTGTTAAATACACTGCAGGAGCAATCTGTGAAGAGGTGTAGGGGGAGTTGCAGAATGTGGTGAGCTGCTTATTGAACAACTTGAACAATTTCACTGCTTCAGCTGTGTATTTTTGGGATAAATTCCTCCAGAGTGCCTACAGCTACTAAGATCAGTGAGAGCTGAAGTTTATGTATGGCTATTTTTGCATAGTTACATTGATCCAGCTTGCACTAATGTAAGTATGCATGTGCCATACTTGGCCAATCCCCACAGTTCTAAATCCTTGTAGTAGGCACAGCTCCTAAGACAGCGATCGCCACTAGCTTCTGGGTCCTGTGCTGCATAGTGAACACAGCATGGGAGCCATTCAGTGCATACCCTGTATTTTTCTCAATGCAAGGAGTTCTCTTATATGAAGAGGTAAGAATTGTGACATCACTTCCCTACCTCTCCACCTTTTGAAGAATGCAAAGCATTCTCTGATTGGACAAAGTGTTCTTGCCGTGCGAAAACCTCTTGTGTTCACTAATCAGCAGGGCAACTTCTCGGCACAACTGCAATTGTTGTAGTAATGGTGCCTGCTACAGTGATTTCCAACTTCCATGGGGTTCGGCCAGATATGGCACATACATACTTACATTGGTCCTAGCTGAATCAATGTACATAGACAAAAATAGTCCTATATAAACTTCAGCGTTGACGCTAATTTACTACTCCTTAAGAAAATTCAGATATTTAAAGTGTCAATCAGCCACAACCTTTTCTGTGGTTTTGGATTCTGCGAGGCCTACATTTAAAATGTTCATAGCCTGGCCAAAATTTCTCCTGGTCTATGTTTATATGCTTATGATGTCGTGTCCTTTAAGAAAGCACTGTCAACAGATCAGATCTTCATAGCATCATACATTGCTTGTAAATATCATTGGGTGCTTACTTACAAGAGGAAATACCTCATCACTGTGTTGCTGCTCGCTATTGTCCAATCAACTGCAAGTTTGGAGTGGATGTTGAACTGTGCACCCTCTGAGAAAATCATTTACCTAGCACATAAAATATATATATATATATATATATACTGTATATGTATGTATGTGTATGTATGTGTGTATATGTATGTATGTGTGTATATGTATGTATATGTGTGTATATATGTATGTATATATGTGTGTGTGTATATATATATATATGGCCCTATTAAGTCCCTTGTATTGAACTGTATTGTTGCTGTATTGTCTCCCGTTATATTGTAAAGCGCCAAGCAAATTGTTGGTGCTATATAAATCCTGTATAATAATAACTTTTTATATATATATAATTTATTTTTAATCTGAAATTATTGTTTAGTCTTGTTTGAACTAGATTGTAACACATGTTTCTGCTTTTCAGTTGTAGGACCAGCAATAGGAAGAGTTTAATTGGCAACAGTCAGTCTCCAGCCCTTCCACGACCCCACTCGCCTCTTTCTGCTCACACTGGTATGTAGCACTTTCTGTCACCCTGTTTTAAATTTCACATCACATATGCTCTTGTTATACATGACTGTGTTCTAGATCTTACTTTATCATGTTAATTATGTTTATTGCGGCTGGAGTTTCTGGCAAACTTTTACCTTTGGAAAGCAAAGACGAGAAAACAGCTTTTGCAATTCTGAGTTTATGAACCATAACAGCACCACTTGTCCTATCAATGCCTAGAATCAATTTTATGGTAAACGAACATCTTACAGTTTTGTGGCAAATGCTGAATTAGACTAAAACTTAGATGTGTGACTCTTCTTATGTGGAACATTTGGGTGGAAACTGCCCAAACAGGCAGATTTAATATAGTAACACATTTTAATTGTAATAAGTTATCTTTAGTGCGGTAGTAAACCCACAACCAAAAGTGTAATGGATTGCAGCTTACCAATTATTAGATGTGTTGGCTGTGCTAGTTTTCTTTTTAAGGCTTTTTTCCCCCTCAGTTTTCACCTGGTGGTCTGGCCAGTAACACACCTCCTGTATGTATTAGTATGCCTCCATTCTGGATGAAGGAGTGCAGGGGCACACATTTGGACAGCAGCATTGACATTCTGGGGGGGGGGGGGGGGGGTAGTGTTATATGTATTAGCAGATTTACATATAAGATTTACACAGATTGAACTTGAAGCTAAAGTCCAGCTAACACTCTAAGCAGTTACAGCAAACTGTTTATTTTTTCTTTTGGGGTAAAGGTTTTACATAAAAGCTGATCATTGTAAGCACCCCTGTCAGGGTTAAAGTGTTACTAAACCCACAACAGTAAAATCGGCCTGTATATGCAGTAAACCATGCTTGTTCTACTCACTGTGGAACCTAAGGGGTTAATCCTCTGCATTGTGTAAAAATGCTGTATGACCCTGACTTCTCTGATTCTCCCCTTTTTCCAGTATCCCCCTCTTATCTTTTGATAAGACATATCATGTGGAGACACTCTTCACATGCTCAGTTTGGTGTTTATTGCTAGAGAGGTTTTTTTTCTTGAGAGAGTGCATGTGATCAGCACAGGGACAATCAACACCATCCTCCTACAGCAGAAAGAAAACACCTCCTACAAGCTTTAACCAGTGCTTGGCTGGACACTGATAGAAGTCACAAGACTGCACTAACTGCTGATGAGAAAAGGCATTTAGCAGTTTATATTTACTAAAATAATTGCATGGTCTGTGTACTGTGGGAAACCAGATATAGTGAATGCAGGGTCCTGGACTTAAGTAACACTTTAAATGGTTTGTCTCATCTCTGTAACTGCTACATCTTGCAAGGGAGCATGTTATTTTGAAAAACAACAGACCTGATCACCAGATGGAAAAAAAAAAAAGAGCGAGCCTAAAAAAGGAAACTGATACAACCATCACATCTAAGAATTGGTAAGCTGCAATATATTACGTTTGCTTTTGGGTTTAATAATGCTTTCAGTTCTCAATTTTATATTTTACTTATGCCTTGGTGAGAAACCAAAATGTCTGCATGGAGCATATGCGAAGGCATTTTGTACCTGAGCAATCTTTTTTTTTTTTTTTTTTTTTTTTTTACTGTATAACAGACAGAGGGAAAACAATACGTTTTCTCTCCACTTCACCCATAAACTCTGGAAACCCTCATCTTGTGTATGTTAGAAACCTAAGTGACACGTACACACTGTCCACAATTCCACCACAGCGTAAGGCTAGGTTCACACTAGCTTGCATTGTGGTTTTGGGTGCGGGAATCACATTGGTTCCCGCTCCTGTATTGCACTGCTTTTGTGAGATGCACTAGGCTGCCATTCATTCTGATTCAATTGTGGATGTGGGAACAGCAGGGAATCCACATAGTCAAAAAGACCATGCGGCTTCCCTGCAGCCGCATTTCTAAAAAGGTGTATGCACCTTTTTCTGTGCAGTTCACGCAGCACAGCAGCCCATTCAAATGAATGGGCTGCCATGCCCTAGCAAACGCTGGCTGCACGGCTCACACTAATGTGAACCGTCAAGGTGTTAAGGCAATATTACACACCTATTGTGATAATTTCATCGTCTTGATTGAAATGGTATTGTGAGGTTGCTTTGGATTTTCTTATCGTTTATGAGCAGTTAAAATTGCTAGAATATTGCCCAAGTTTCCAGTCGTCATTAGTGTGACCTAGTGAACACATAATGGAAATCTAATCTTTGAGAAGTCGTACAGTTTATCTTTGTAAATTGTATTATGTGAAGAGGTGGTGTTGGCTTATTAACTTACCAGCCAAGTTAATGCTGTAACTTTCTAGTATCAAGATCAAAATATGACCTGTGATATTTCCTCTGCCCCCAGATATCACTCGATTTAGTACCAAAATCAGTTCCCCCGTGGCTCCACCATTATGTCATAAACCAGGTTACGCTCTGTGGAATTATTCCAATCATTTATGCATACTGTTAGAAAGTGTCCTGAAGTGAATGTAATAAGGCAGCTTATATTGAATCAGACTGATAATTATTTTTATCTTGCATTAAGCTATACAGTGTGATCAGCAGTACAGTCTTGGAATTTATCTGAATTTCTAATAATGCTTTTATGAGTTCTCATCTTGGAGAACTGCTAATTCTGAGTTAGCATGTAGATCACTTTCTGTCATAGTATGGTTCATATTCCCAGAGTTAAGTAAAACCAGAGTAAGAATTTGCTGATTCAATTTAAAAGCAGATTCTAATTTCCAAATGATCATGACCTGCATGTAATTTCCAAGGTATACAACTCCTCTATATACACAAATCAGTCAACCAAGGCATAGCCTGGAAGAGTGCACATTTTGTTATGATTATGGAATACATATTAAATGTGTATCTGCAGTATGTAACGTCAATAACGTGTTCAAGTCTGTCCTAAAGAGCTTTTACATAAAAGTCAGATATCTAAATAAACCTTTGACTAAATGTAAATCTTAACAATTAACTTATTTGCTCTCTTTTGGTCAGTTTAATACACCAAAGCTGGCCATAGATGGATATTTTAATTTGATCAGCCAGTGAGCTCGAAAAAAAAAAAAAAACAAACTGTTTCCTCATCAACACAAGCGAGGTGGATTCCTCCCCGCTGTAAGAATACACTAATCAGTGGATGCGGTCGATTGGCTGATTGTGAAAAGTTTTCCAACAAACCCATTTGAAAGAAAGTGATTGTTAGATCGACTTCTGTTGAGCGGAAGCAGGGACACGTGGATCAAAATTTTTTCAGTCCTTCCTGAGCTGGCAGAACTTTGAGCCAAGTCATCTATGACCAGCTTAATGACAGCATTTGTTATACCTAGTTAATACAAAAATAATCTTGTTTATCCTGTCAGAAATCAGTTCAGCTGCTATCTTCATGTAGTGAGCTGAAAATGCTTAATTTAAATGTTACTACAGAGCATCTCCCTCATGTTGTGGAGATGAGTAAGGGGTAGGTTTACTATAGTCCTAACACACTTCCTTTCTTTGGTTGATAATTCTTCTTCTTTATAGATATTGTACAGTTAAGCCGGCCATAGATGGTCTGAATCTTGGCTGGTTCAGCAGGGACTGGATGAAATTCAATTCATATATGGGCAAGCTGATTGTACCCAAGTTGATCCATCAATTGGCTTGGATACAACCAGGGCGTTGGATTTTTTTTTTTTATATAACTTCTCTGTTTTAAGGTATATAAGAATTAGGTTAAAACAAGAAAGAGGGCAGCAACATGACAACAGACAGAACAAAAAATTATATATATATATCAGGATCATCTGGTCAAAATAAAAGTAAAAATAAAATAAATAAATAAATGAATGCAACCACCACATCTAAGGACTGAGAAGCTTCAGTGCATTTCTTTTGTTTTTTGGTTTAAAAACTCTCTCTCATCATAACCTAAGGCTGGTTATCAGACACCGCAAGTAATCACATAATTTATGTACTTTGACATTGTTTGCCCCCTCTACACCTTGGAGCCCCAAAGTTTCTTTTTTTTACATTTCAGTTACTCACTGGTTTCCATGCCTAGACAAATGATGTCATACATCTCAGGAGTCTTCAGGAAAGGTTTTCTAAGCTAAGCACACCTTCCTATCTGCATGCCTGAGCTAAAGGCAGATGGATTCCAGGAAGTAAATCCTACATGAATCATCTGCCCTTACTCAAGTTGGCTGCAGCCAAAAATGCAAGCAGGTGTTTTTCGAAGTGAATTCTCAACAAAATAAAGCATGGGGACATGGATGGATAGATGACTTTGCTTTGAATAATAAAAAAAGGATATATCTTTTTTGGATTGTGGTGCTTTGAGGCAGTGTAGATTAACTTTAAGCATTCGATGATGCTGTAGCAATCATGCACACAGAGATGGACGCGGTCATTCATTTTGCTCCAAACCCCTCCATATTGTATCTCTCTCTCACCCAAATCAGATTCCTCCGACATCCCCCTCCTTCTCTGTTGAGTGGCATGTGGTCTGTTTGTTGCAGAGATCACAGGCAGCAAACTCATTGGGAGGTTGTCATGGCTATAAACCCCCAGCCGAGCTGGTGCCTAGATGCCTGTTAGCTCGCAATCTGGGATATCGTAAGACCATAAACCAAGCCCTCACGGAGCTTCAAAAGATATTCCAGGGAGTCATAAAACAGACTTACATTTTAAAACCCAGTTTTCCATATAATTTTATATCTCCAAATAGGACATAATTACATAAACATGGAGCACATATTCGGATGGCTCACTTTAAGACAAGTCGCCTGGTATATTACACCCCCTAGCTGGCATATACAGGAGAGCAGAAAATTATATCTCTTTAGCCATCCAAGCAGGTATCTCATATTTCATATGTAGACGTCCCGCAGAAGATGCTGGGTATTAATCTACTCATGGATAGAATGTTATGTACCTAGGAAAAGTTATTGGCCATAGTATAATTGTGAAGGCTTTGGTCATAGCCTGAGCTCCCAGCCTACACAACCCCCTCCCCAAATGAGGCGATTTGTTCTC